ACTGGTGTAGCCGAGGAAAGCTGGCGTGGACGCTTCTGAGAGAAGCAGGCACGCAGCAAGACGATAGGATTCGCCAGTGTACTCAAGAAGACGACGCCTATGGACAACCTCGGCGGAATCCTGGCATCGTCGCAGTGATTCAGGGAGCAAATGTGTTGTGTCCTGGAGATTCCTTTGTAAAGTGATAATTTTGGCCTCGACGGCGCTTCGTCTCTCTTCAACTTCGAACCCTTCTCCATACATGACCTGCACATCATCCTTGAGGCTCAATATATCATTAATAAGCAGGAGCATGCGGTTACTCATGCCATTCCACACGTCAATTTCGCGAAGCGTATCCGGTTTCATGGCCTTGGACAGTGACTCTGAAGATGTCCAGCAGGTCCCTTCTTCTACGGGTAACGAGGGATCGTTCCGCACTTCTACAGCTGGCAGTACCTTGTCAATTGGGAAAAGGGACTTTGCCAGCACCAGATGCGCCGAGAAGTAACTCATGAATAGTTGCGGCACATATGTTTTTGTGTGGCGACGAACCCTCTGCTTGATGACCATCTGGAAACATGTCAGGTGGCGAACCCAAGAGGCGTCACAGCTGTGGGATATCTGCGGCGAGTCAATACTGAAAACTCATGAGAATACCAAGAACGAGGAGACTACATACAGCCGAAGAGCAGAGAAATATAGTCGGCAGCAGCACGTCTTCAATCTCAAAACAACTTTCCGCTAACGCTTGACGCAAGCCTTTGAGTACCCTTTGCCGGACCTGCATTTCAAATAGTTCAAAGCGACTATCGATTGATCTCAGGTACTGCGCGCTGGTCATGAGTACAGAATAATATGCTAATTCAGACCGAAATACCATGCGCATTACTGTATTGCGAAGAGGATTGGTTTCCTCGTTGTCAATAGTAACGGCAGCAGGGCACATCATCGACTCGTAAAACGACAAGCACACATCATCAACATCGGGTACCCCGAGAGTCCAAGGCAAGGTTCGGAAATTGATATTTGATGACTGAACCTTGCTTTCTTTCCAGTGATGATACTGACTCTGATATGTGTCTCGGGTCAATAAAGAAACGCCTTTTGACGTCGCGGCCCGCAGTGGGCTGTGCGAAGAGGGTGGAGTGAGGATCAATGCGGAATCCCCGTCGCTATCAGGCTGATCTTTGCGTTCGATCCGCTTCGAAGGCGGAAGCCGATCGTCCTCTTCAGATTCTTGGTATGGAAGCGAACCTCTTCTGGTTACGATGCCGGTTCGTCCATGACATTTCCCCGCGGCCCGCATATCATCCTCCCATTGAAGGCGGACCCCGTAGTTGCATCGATTCTTCGACCGTTGGCATCGCATACATACTGGATGAGCTTCTGGACGCACCGGAGAATAAGCTTCGTTGTCGTTGAAAATTTGCCGTGTAGAACACCGAATCGAGTCATAAGGAGCACGAGGCTCCTATCAACCTAGGAATGGGACAGGCAATGGACAACACGCACCGTCGCATTTGACCCGTCTCCGACGACACGTAAGACAACCGCTGCGGGACCGGATTCTGGGCTGGGATGTCATCGGAGGCGACGAATCTGAGTCGGAGGAAGTTGGAGGGCCAGGGTTCAACGACCACGAGATGAACATATCGACAGTCAATCATGTCTTTATTATGACACTCAGCGCCAGATCTAGTTATTTCCCTTGTGAGAAGGACAAGACGGGGAACAGACCTTTGGGGGACTCCAAGTGGGCTAAACAGGCTTACGGAGGGGGAAGGCTATGGTGCATGGCCGGGCACACAGTCATCTCCTACCTCGGGGCGGCCACGGACGAGCTGAAAGCCTAACAATGCGGTTAATATCGAGGGCTGGATGGGATTGGCGAGTGGGTGAAGCTCCATCCGCCATCGGAACGCTAATCGCGTCCGAGGCGGACACTAATGAGGTTTCCCCGTACCCTGAGGACGGTAGGAACGGTCCGTCAGCCAACAGTCGCTGGAGTTCCCCCCTCATCATTTAGTGGGATAGCAAGCTGAAACCAACGGTGTGATTGCGTGTCCAATCGCCTCGAACCATAGTCAACTAATCTTACCATCGGCGGTAATCCGATTACTGATGCCTTTCGATTCAAATCGCGCATTCCTAGGCTTTCATCGGAGGATCGGGCTCCACTCGAAGACCAGGAATGTCATCCTGGACCGAGCGCTAGATGATACAGTTATCCATCAAATCTAGGTTTACCTTATGAGATGGCTCGATGCGGCCATCCGACTGAGCTTTCTCGGCTACTAGATAGTATCGCAATGTCCTCAAATCCCCACCATTTGTGCCAATATTCTCGTCCCGCCTCAGGAAAAGAAATTACGCGACTAATCCTGCTGTACTCGATCCAGGTCCAGACCATGGAGTTTTCCATTAGTTCATTGGAAGGATTTCAATTCCAGCTGGTGCCAATTACCCCTGTAGCATGGAGGAAGTATTTAGCAGGCCTGCATCATGAGATCTAGAGCCCTATAAACCGATCGGGGCCTGCAGGAACCTCAGAGGGACCAAAGGTCCTAGGCACATGGTGTGTTTCAGAGCATGTAGGCTACCATTATGAGCTCGCAAGAGACTGCCTCGAGGGTACCTGTGGTGATAGCTGGATACACCGTTCCTATCGTCTGCATGGTGCTATGCACAGGTTTACGGCTTTTCGTGAAAGTTCGTGGTCCATCAGAGGACCGCTTTCATGCAGATGACTGCCTAATTACCCTAGCCACGGTGCGTTTACCTCCCTATCGCCTGGTACCTGCGCATACTGACGATCCTTTTTGTTTTTGGTTAGATACTGGAGGTAGCGTACAGTATTATCATGCTGGCTGTCGGTATGAATGCCCTCGAGGATGCATCTCTGGCCGGAATCCAGCTAATGTACTTAGGGATGCGTCATGGATTCGGTAAACATGGTTCAACTCTTGCGACTACTGACCTAGAGGCATTCTTGAAGGTACAATGAGCCATTGACTACCTTCAATGCAACTAACACATATATAGGGAGACTATATTGCTAGCCACCTCTATAATGTCGGCCTGGCAAGCGTCAAACTCGGAATCCTCGCCTTATACTACCGCATATTCGCCATACAGTGGTTCCGCAGGACAGTAATTGGCTGTGTCACATTCGTCTGCCTGTGGATTGCGACCATAGAGATCTTTATGGGCCTGCTCTGTCGACCCCTGAAGGCTTTCTGGGATGCCAGTATCAAAGGCCATTGCTTCAACTCCAGCGCACTGTCATACTACGTCAACACCTCCAACATGATCACCGACCTTGTCATATTTGCTCTCCCAATAGGAGTGATTGTGCGGCTCCGTACGACCCGGAGCAATAAAATTGCCCTCTGTATTATATTCTCCATTGGATTCATGTAGGCTCCTTCCCCCATCCTGCCCTCGCATTAGCCAGGCACTAACACTTCCATGATCACCAGAACATGCGGTATAAGCGCTGCCCGTCTAGCCTTCGTCTTTGCCGAAAGCTCGTCCGACATCACCTGTGCGTCCTCGCCCCTCTTCCACCTCCACAAACTACCACCACACTTGAACACACACTAACATGATACAAACAAAGGGGACGGCGTCGACCTCGGAGTCCTATCCGGCTTTGAATCGCTCGGGGGCATCCTCTGCGCCAACCTCCCCATCATCTACCGCCTCTTCAGGCAAGCCGCACAGAAAGTCACCAGCCGAACAGGAGGCAGCTCCTCCCTTCCCCACCTACAGTATGGGCGCGAGTCCAAGACTTTCACGTCACGGTCACGCCCTCGCCGACACCGTCTTAGCGAAACGCTCAATGAACAGTGGATCCAATTGCAGAACGGCAATTCGTCAAATGATAGCCATCTCCCTGGGGGACCACAGGATTTCGCTGTGCAGAAGGTGGTGGACATGGAGACGGGGATGGAGGTAGTGCGGCTGAGTAATATCCCAAACGCTATTACAGTGAAGAGGGAGTTCCATCAGACGGTGGAGGGTCGTCGGTGATAAATCTCCTTTGGTGCTGTCTGTCTAGAGAGTAGTCATTCATTTGTGTCCCTGTCGGGGAGAATTTCCTTATGTTGAGGTAGACAAAAATAGATGAACAGTCATCCCTTACTTTGGAACTTTAGGGAACCATGGTAAGTCGAGAATGAGAACGGAATAGTAACTCATAAAACATCCCCCAACCATTTCACCCAAAGAGATACGTAGTCGGAAACCCTTTGAGTTGGTTCCATACTACCGAAGTGAATATATTATTCTCGCAAGATACTAACTAGTGTAGGTATCGAAATTAAGGATGAAGTACTGGATCAGATGGTGGGTACTTAGCACGGTCAAATGCGAAGTACTATTAAGTAGCAGGAGTATCAACTCGACATCGAGGCGATTGATAGTATACTACTATATATTTGCACTGAACACAGATGTGAAATCACATGCCTTCAAGAACTCTACCTTCTGGCTCCCGGCTTACTTGGATACATCTTTAGATCGCATTTTCAGCTTTTCTGGTTGGGCTGGGGCGTAGCTGCTACAATTTTAAAGTTCGTATAGATGGTATATAGTAACAATCTTCGGGTTTTTCATCTATTAGTAGTTACTAGTAGAGAACAGGTCGTTCCGAGATGCTATGTAGGTCGGCTTTGAGAGGGATTATGTGTCTTCGGATGATCCAGAGTACATCTTTGTATCAAAAATAATCAGTGTTTATGTTTTCAGACAATAAGTCACACGAACGAATGATATCAAGTACAGGAAACCTGACCCGTACCCAGGCCAACCAGTCCAGTCCAAACCGACTTATCTAGATTATATACATGCATGAGAAGGCATTCACAAAATGTAGTAGACCTATAGACACATTGCGCCTTTCCGAAACCGCCCAAATAAAAGAACATAGCAAGGACAAAGAGGGGAATCGCCCAGGCATATTTACCGAATCACTATAGACAGACAAATTACAACACTTTGTAGGTTGGTGGTTTATTTCAACCGCCAATGACCATCCAAGCGATCATACCTCCCCACATGCCCACAAAAGCAATGGTCAGGATGGAGGCACCCGCCTTGTCGCCCGTGGTGATCTTCGATTCGGTACTGCCGCTGTCGGTGTTGTCGCCTGTACCCGCGTTCGGATCGCTAGTACTGTTGCCGCCAGTACTGGAGGTCACAGGGGCCGTTTGCTTCGTGCTATACAATGCGGAGGCCAGAACGTTGGTGACGGCGATCTCTTCCTCCATTCCGTTCCACCCATCCCACTTCTTGGGATACCAGCGCACACCACAGGTGTTGTTGCCCATTCCGTTGCAGGAAGCTGCGGCAGCTTCGGCGGACCCCTGCAGTTTTGGCAGAATGAGACTGGACGTCGACGGCATAATCAGAGCCACAAGCCCAAGCCATCCCGTGACGAGTCCCTTGAACAGAATTTCGTTGTCGTTGCACACTTCGGCCGGTTCGCAGAGAATTTCGGACATGATGTTTCCACCATACTTCGCCGGGAAGAAGGTGTCGAGCGTCACGTTCAAGAGACCCTCCGCCGCGTTCTTCCATTTGGCCTTGCCGGTCTGCGAATGGCATTAAATTAGCACCTGCTTCCTCCACACCTGGCGGGGAGCCGAAATTACTTACATAGTTGTACATGTACGCGGCTCCCGTCAAGAAGACACCGTAATTGTAAGACCACTGATTGTTTCCTTGGGTTTTGCAGTTATTATCGACATCGGTGGAGTCGGCCACGTTCCAAGTCTGGTTGTTTAACAACGGAGTCGAGGCACACCAATCGAAAATCTTCTCTGCCCAGTCGGCGTACGTGTCGTTGGAGGTGTAGCGGGCCAGGCGGGCAGCGAGTTGGAACAGACCTCCGTTAGAGATGGAGTTCTTCATGGCGTAACCGGCTTCATAAGGATAGATCTGCCAGCGCAGACCACCGCCACATGTCGAATCGTCCCATCGATCGACCTGAGTGTTGTAAACGCCCTGGGCCAAAGCGAGCCAGGAGTATCCGGAGGAACTGTCGGCGAATTCGATCTCGGCAGCAGTGATGGCGGCAAGACCCCAGAACATTTGATCGTCGTTACCCTAATAGACAGCGAGAAGAGTCAGACAATTGTTCAAGCTCAGGGGGGAATGGGTATCGTCATGTCGCTTACCAAGTAACTACTGTAGTTGGCGGGCATGTAATCGCAGTCACCCGCCTGCCATTGCATACCTTGACGGACCTCGTCGTTGTAGGTACTGTCTCCGGTGTAGTACCAGTAGAGGAGCAAACTTGTGAAGAGTGCACTACCTTCCCACCACTTGCTAGGGAAAGCACCGGGAATCTGACCGGTTTCGTTTCCATGATACCAGGTCATGGACCCGTAGGCGGTCTTACTGGCGGCATCCTTGATGGAACCTATACGGACGATGATGATGGTGGTCAGTTGTCAATTCATAACATTGGTGTATCTTGTTGGAATGGAAGACACGGGGGACTAAATTTAGTGACGCAACTGCTTCCAATAATGTAGGAGAGGGGAAGGAGAACGGGATAAGAGACGGGCGGTGACAGCAGAGGATATAATAAAGGAAAGAGATAGAAGTGGGGGGGAAAGCATACTGGTACTGCTGATATCGATATCAATGGCGTGGGAGAGCTGAGAGAAAAGCGCTGTGTTTAGGAATAACCCCCCATACAGGCAATCTCGAACGAGACGCATGGCGGGAGGGAGCGGGGAGGGAAAGAGAGAGAAAAAGGGGTGGGAGGAGGAGAAGATGGGAAGGAAACGAATGTATAGAAGCGAGGGACACGGTCAAGGAAGAGACTGACCAGCAGAAACGGAGAGTAAACGAGAGTGTAAAGGGAAGAGGGGGGGTTGATAGGATGGAGACAGTTGACAGTCAAGTCAAGAATGGGGATGATGGCATTGCAGCAAGACAAGAAAAGCAAGAGGGAAATCAAGCTGCGTAGACGCCGGGCCAGGCCTATTTTTAATCGGCGGGAAAAAAGAAGGGAAGAAAGGCCCAAAAAAGCCAACCATCGGCACTGGTGGAGTTGGTCCCCGTCCACGTCAGCTCCTCGTGCAATCAGCGTCCTCGCCCTCGCATTTCTTCTTGACCCCAAGGGTCATGGTGTGACAGGGTCAGAAGGGGTTCAGAAAGGAGCTAAAAGAGGGTGATGGAATTCCTGCCCCAATAGTCATCCGAGTTTATTTATTTGGTTCCCTGGAGAGAAGTTGAGGCTGGATGGAAGTGGAAGTACTTTGGAAGTTCTGATAATAAATATCATTGTGAGCCTGAGGCCACAATACGAATACGGCATATTCCGATCATCAATTTCTTCTTTGGGATGTTTCTTTCCCTTTTTTTTGCCCCTGGAAAATGAAACCAAACAATAATCCCGAACAAAGGCTGAGTTGAGTGAGTTCTGGCCCGGCGGGTACCATGGATCCTCTTTGACTTCCCTTTCCCCATGAATGGCTGCCACAATCAGTCCGTCTTGCAACTTTGCGCCCGGTCGCAAAGATAGGCATGTCTTGCTATCACAAGCTTTCTTGCCCAGCACTGCTAATCCTCACCAAGCAATGCCGGGCATTCCGCAGTTTGAACTGTCATTGCAGCCTGTGATCTTGGCAGAACCCAATCAGCCGATCGGGGGGGAACAGTCAGCCCCCCTGGCGGGTACATCATCACAAGCACCACTCGGAATGCCATTGGGAGTTTGTCTCTGCTCGGACGCGCCATCGTCAGCGCTCTTTGATCAGGATCGTCACCTGCTTTGGGGTCGAAGCTTGCGATCGCTGCGAAGGGCTGTAAGTGTTTATACTATTCAGAGCGTTCTTCCCGTTGCTCTGGATCTTCGGTGTCTAATTCTCCAACAACCAACACAAACTATGGGACCTCGTTCGTCGCTCAATTGTGAACCTGAATTCTTCGCACTTATCCCCCCTTCTGCAGGATGGCAATGAGCCGTTCTAGACTTCTGCGCCGTAGTTAATTGCGGAAGTACCTGCGTGTGTCAGCCTTGACACTCCGATCCTGGTCCGTCATGTGACAGGACATCAATGTTTGTCTGGTTTGTTGATCTCTCCTTGTGACTATGAACAAGGGTAGTACTTCATTGTCATTGAAGATGCCATCTAGGCAAACAGCACACTGCAGTCATTCATATCGTTTTCGTTTGATAATTATCAGTTATATCCGAATCATAAGTATACAGGGTGGATAATCCGACGGAAAAAAGAGACTGAGACATTGTCTTACTTTCAGTTATCAATATGCCGCCCTCCCCGTCTCCGTCATCGTCTCCACCACTATGTTCCCGTAAGCGAAACTTGAGTTTCATGTTTACCAGCCATTGCTCACTCAGCTCAGGACTATAAATATGCAGTGTTGATATCTAATATGATCTTGTATTGATCAGTGCACTCATTTTCTTATCTATTCAGCAAGTCAAATATACATAAGATCTCATCAACTATATATACTGCACAGAAGACAAGAAGACTAATTCCTTAACGAAAATATATACTACTTTTACTAGCATCATCTCCCACCGCACATACTTAAGTACTAGTAGATGGTTCCACCGGGTCTAATTGAGTCTTGAATACTATTACGTGCTCAATGTTATGGCATAGCGAAGAGCTTACTTGGGGATTATCGACTGGAATAGCCACTGGAAGAGGTATCTCGTTTGGTCTTCTCTATTTGTCTCTGCCCCTGCCATATATTCTGCAAACATTCACAGCGTTGCTTCAACCTCATCCACAATGGTCACCTTAATGCTCCCGTTTCTGGTATCCGCACACAGATTCAAGGCATCCACGGCCTTCTCTAGGGGAAATACGTGCGACACCAACTTCTTCAAGTCCAATAGGCCCCCACTGAGACACGCTATTGCAGGCGGCCAGGTATCGCGGTACCGGTTGATGAACCGCAAATCGATCTGGCTTGGTTAGTGGTCTTATTTTCAACAAGCTTAAAACGAGGAAGGCTTACTTCTGCCAGGGAGATATGCATAAATGGCAGGTTATTCATTACTGCCTTTCCCACGCCAATGACGACCACTGTACCACCCCGACGAGCGGTAAATGCTGCGGTACACACACTGTTCTCAACACCAGTACACTCTAATACAGTTTCTGGGGCGTTGTACTCGTCCGGACCAAAAATTGCTCGGATTGCCTTAGCGTTGCCTTCCGCATCTAGTGTTGGATTAACCTGGTATGTGTTGCACCAAGGCGCAAATTCCTTGGCAAAGGCGAGTCGCTTTGGCTCAATATCTGTGATGACAATGGGGTGGGCCCCTGATGCACGAGCAGCTGCGAGGGCGATCAGTCCAATAGGCCCGGCACCGCATACGACTACAGCACGACCTAAATGAAGACGCGCGACCTGGACTCCGCGCATGACGACCGAAAGTGGCTCGAGGAGGGCTCCTTCAAGATAGGATATATTGTCCGGAAGCCTGTAAGACAATTTAGCATACTTAGCTCAATCCAATAGGAACCAAAACGCACTTATGTAACCATTTAGCCGGATGGACCTTGTAGCGTTGGATGGTACCCGCATAAGGATATACTCCCGCAAATTGGACGTCCTCGCAAAGGTTGTAGCGACCGTCATCACAGAGGAAGCACTGTTCGCAAGGAACCCCAGGTTCGACGGCGACTCTGTCACCTGTGCCTTCCGATAAGTTATCCATTGCAGACATAATGCACAGCGTGACTAACCAGGCTGGAGATGGGTCACTCCATCTCCACACTTTAGCACCACCCCCGCTGCTTCATGGCCAATTATGCAATCTCCCTCGAAGACTAGCTCTCCAATGCGACCGGTTTTCCAGAAATGAATATCGGACCTAAGCACGTTAGTGAATAGTGCACACATGTAAATATAGCCAATATTCTTGCATACCCACAGACGCCAGTGGCTTTGATTTGCAGCAGGACCTCACCTCGCCGTGGCGCATACACCGGGGCGGGGACATATTTGAGATTGTGATCTGCCGTGATCTGGAGAGAGGGATTAGGGAATGGAGGCGACAATTGCACCTGCTCCGTCGGCGATGACTTTGAGGTAGACGTTGGAGCCGGGCTCGATAGAAGGACAGAAGGGGCCATGATGTTGTATGGTGTATGATCTGAACGTTGGAGTTAGAGAGGACGCCTGGGGTGCGTCTGGTTTAAGCTGAAAACATCTTGGGCGTCCCCAGGTTAGCTGGGAGTGACACAATTGCTGAACTCGAGCAATAGGATGCAGCGGAGATAAGCTACCTCTGCCTGGGCATCATGGAGATGGCAACTGGAGGCACGGATGACCCAGCGTGGATCCAGTCCAGGTCATACCTTCCCCGCATGGAATTTCTGGGGTCGGGTCCAGTACTTACCCTTTTGGGTATTCCACATCCGCTTTCCCCGATCTGGTGGTTGGCGCCTCCAATTACCCGATTGGGAAATGGGCTTAATGCTGCCGGATGAGGTTATTCGGATCCAGTTCTTCATGCTCAGTCCACCTTCACTCTGCAGAACTGGGCTTGTTCTGTTCCCACCTTTTCTCTGCTCTGGGCACCGTGCCTGTTATAAATTTGACCCATGTCCCCTCTTGCCCCGCGCCATGTATCGCCCTCAGAATCATTCCTGCAACTATGGCTGTTGGTCCTGTCCCGCAAAGTAATGGCGCATCGGCCTTGCCGCTGGTGCGCCAGCTGTCTAAAGATCACGACCATGTCTTGAAATCATTCCGTCTTCTAATTTCCGACCTGTGCCAGCAGTTCGGCGGAGGCCACCCGGGGTATGAGTCCACCGATAATGAGCTCAGCAGAACAAAGGGTATTGACTGACTTGACCAGTGGAGCTATTGGCATGGCGGCCATAGGAGTCGCCCTCTGGCGATATGTTATGCGATATGCGCCACACACCCCAGACTACTTCAACCGCGATCGCTTCATCCTTTCCAACGGCCATACCTGCCTCTTCCAGTACGCCTTTTTACATCTCACTGGCTACAAAGCCATGACTTTCGAGCAGCTCAAGTCCTATCACTCCGACCGCGTCGACGCATTATGCCCGGGCCACCCGGAAATCGAACACGAGGGCATCGAAGTCACCACAGGCCCCTTAGGTCAGGGCATCGCCAATGCTGTTGGTCTTGCCATGGCCACGAAGAACCTGGCGGCCAACTTCAATCGTCCTGGGTACGATGTCGTATCCAACCACACCTGGTGTATGATAGGAGATGCATGTCTGCAAGAAGGAGTCGGACTCGAGGCAATCTCCTTCGCGGGTCATCTCAAACTCAACAACCTGACAGTCATCTACGATAACAACCAGATAACCTGCGATGGTTCAGTCGATCTGACCAATACAGAGGATATCAACGCTAAGATGCGTGCCTGTGGCTGGAACGTCATTGATGTGGAAGACGGTTGCTATGATATCGAGGGGATTGTCCAAGCCTTGGAGGAGGCTCGCGTTTCCCCAGAAAAGCCTACTTTCATAAACGTCCGGACCGTCATTGGTCTAGGCAGTAAGGTGGAGGGCATGGCTGCTGCTCATGGTGCTGCATTTGGTGCTCCAGACGTAGCAGAGATGAAGAGGAAGTATGGCTTTAACCCTGAGGAGCACTTCGTCATCAGTGATACAGTCCGAGAGTTCTTCCAGGAGCTCCCTGCTCGAGGCGAAGCTCTTGTTCAGCAGTGGAACTCGTTAGTGAAGCAATATAGCGCAGAACATCCTGAGCTTGGGGAAGAGTTCCAGAGACGCATTCGCGGAGAGCTGCCTTCGAACTGGAAGGACCTTATACCTTCCAGCTTCCCTGATAAGCCAACGGCTACGAGAGCTTCATCCGGCCTAGTATTCAACCCTCTGGCTAAAGATATCAAATCTTTCATGGTCGGAACGGCTGACCTGAGCCCGTCCGTGAACATGATCTGGCCGGGCAAAGTTGATTTCCAGCACGTAAGTTCATTCTTGCTGTTTCTCTTAGACCATTTCGTGGCACCATACTTACTAGATACAGCCTGATCTACGTACCACTTGCAATATCAACGGTAACTATTCCGGCCGATATATCCACTTCGGAGTGCGTGAACACGCCATGTGTGCCATCTCGAACGGGCTGGCAGCGTTCGCTCCAAACACATTCATCCCTATCACTTCTTCCTTTTTCATGTTCTATCTTTATGCTGCTCCTGCTGTGCGCATGGGAGCTCTTCAACACCTTCAGGTTATCCACGCTGCTACTCACGATTCCATTGGCATGGGAGAAGATGGTCCGACACACCAGCCGATAGAGCTGGCAGCGCTCTACCGTGCTATGCCAAACCTGCTGTATATTCGACCGGGCGATAGTGAGGAGACAGCAGGAGCCTGGCTTGCAGCCCTGGAGGCCAAGAAGTCATCCAGCATTATCTCCACCTCCCGTCACGCTCTGCCCCAGTTGAAGCAAACACGCCGGGAGGGAGTGGCCCATGGCGCGTACGTGCTGGAAGAGGCTGATGCTGCCGCAGTGACGCTCATTGGCGTCGGCGCAGAGCTCTCATTTGCGCTTGATGTAGCCCAGCAGCTGAAGGAGACTAAAGGGATTGCGGTACGCGTCGTCAGTTTCCCGTGCCAGCGACTGTTCGAGCAGCAGGCCCTCGAATACAAGCGCACGGTCCTGCGACGCCATCAAGGGATCCCGGCGGTGGTAATCGAGCCATATGCGCCGAACGGCTGGGAGCGGTATGCCGATGCAGGCATCAACATCCGCCGATTCGGCCACAGTTTGCCGGGCAAGGCTGCATACAAATTCTTCGGCTACGAGACCGGAGTGATGGCGGCCAAGGTGGGCGATTATCTGGACCGACTAGAGAAGGGAGAGTGGCAGCGAGGAGAATTTGTGGATCTGTAGGCTACTGATCCTTTCGATATCATTACCATTCAATGAATAAACTTAGACCTAAGTCAACTTACCAATGGAATAGTCCAACTCTGTAGGAATTGGCAGATGGCCGGAGTAGAGATGTGGGGATTGACTAGAGGGAAGATCCACCCAGACGCGCCGGGCTCGTATTGGGGAATCGGAAGCGCCATCCCTCGCTGCTTTAGTCTCCCCACTTCCCCTCCCTTCTTCCCAACTCAATTCCCCTCCACGTTGTTATCTATAGACGCTTCGGATCTTATCTCTAGAGGATCCAGACTATTGCTAACCCTGGAATCTTCTCACAATGGCTTCCGCTGATGCCGCAATAAATGAATCACCACTCACCGCTCCCAAGACGCTAGATGGCTTTTTTCTTCGCGTATCACACGCACTCAAACTCAGTCCCTACGATGCTTACACACTACACCAGTTACCTGGGAACAAGAAAGTTCAAGCAAGAGTGTATTGCCAGGCCCGGACGGGATTAGACTTTCCCATCAACGAGACCTGACTTGCAAGCTATATGGCTAAACATACTAAGACATGAAAGAACAGGACAGGACAGGATAAGACAGAACAAGACACAAGAAGCCAGAAGTCTGCTTCACAAATAACGAAAAAGGATGAGACAATCAACACCAACAACCTGAAGATAACCAAGATGGAGATAAAGAAACGAGCAAATCTCAAGGGTATATCAACCTCTCAGGCTAAGCAACACTATTATAGCATGAAATCATCTAGGCGCTGCTCCGGGGCGATTACATAGACTCCCCATGCGGGAGATAGGCACGGAGCCGAGCGGGTGCCGCTGGCATGTGCGTTATAGAACCTCTCATTTGATTCATCAGCTGGCTCGCTGCTTTCGGGGATCGCTTGGGTATTGTCTTGCGGGAGCTCAACTATACTCTCGTGGTTCATATCATTTGCGTGCTCGATGCTGCCCTCGCCATTCATTGCGGGATCACCGCTGGCATCGCCGTTCATTATGAGTGCGTGCTCGCCGCTGGTCGCACCGTTCATCATATGGGTGAGATCAACGCTGCCCTGGCGGTTCATCTCATGTGCGGGCTCGGCGCGACCTTCGCCGTTCATTTCATGGGTCGGCTCAACTATGCCCTCAATGGCTTCTAGTGTGGGCCTTTGGACTGGGTGAGGGGCTTCGGAGGAATATGTGCCAATGGGTGCACTCCTTCTTCCTTTCGCCATCTCAAACCGGAGAGTGCGTTGCTGCAGCTTAAATACCGATTCTTGACCATTTTTCATTCGAAAGATTTGATTCGCAACCTCCGGTGTCTACACTTCATTAGCTATTGCTATTGAGATGTGAAGCATGACGCGTACCTCGAATTGCGCAAAGGCGGTTCTCAAACCAGAACTAGGGTTCGTCTTCACTTTGACATAACAACGTCCGTATTTGCCGAGCATCCTCTTGAGCTCCAACTCCATCTGAGGTGGATCAAGAGCACTTGGTAGACTGCAGGGTGTTAGTTTTTGTCCCATCCACTATTGAGTTTGGAAGGGGGTTTAGCTCTTACTTTCCAACAAAAAGGCGAGCTTCAAGAGGAAGGAGATCTTGAGCGTTGTCATCTGTGACTTTGATTCCTCCGACAATAAGAATATCATCTTCGGTGTCAGAACTACTTGATCCCGCCTGAGCTTGAACTGAACCATCTGGGGACGGCTGCGGAGGGCTATTGGTCACGGTGGGAACCAACTGCCGGAGCATCTGGTACAAGGGGGTGTCTCGACGTACTGGGAATCCTGGATGGGTCATACGTGCAAATCGGCGGTTAGGAGGAATAGACGGGTGGTTATCGGCAGGCATAATATAAGGTTGTTCCTGGACGGCATCAGACATCTCCGAGATGAAAGGATCCCCATCAGGTATGTCGTTTTCCGTAATGATCACATCCCATTGAGGTTCCTTTGGAAATCCAGGCAAATGCCTGCTCATTATAGGGTCACACCAAGGAGGTATATCCATATACAGCCAGTTAGGCTGTTGCCCTCCAACTTGCATACGAGCCCCGGTGAAGAAAACCCATTTCCTGGTACTATCAAGGAAAGAAGGGCCAAAAGGTTTCTTTCCAGGATATGGAATAGCATTGGGGTACTGTTGACAGAAATCCATGTTGACTGCTTGAGGGGAAGGATGCATTTCTCAAAGCAAAAGCCGTGAGTAACTTATCCTCTTAGCGATCAAGCAAAGCCAAGC